GCGCAACCCAAGCGCAATCGCCTGTATATGTGAGTGTGTGTATATGCGTGTGTTTATTTGTATGTGTATGTGTGTGCGTTTGTTTGTTTGTATGCGTGTGTGTGTGTGTGTGTGTGTGTGTGTGCGTGTGTGTGCTAATTATTATTGAAATATCAGTTCCTTGTAGGGTTCAGGGGATCTCGTAGTCGAGCAGTCTCGACTAGAGCTTTCTTACTTGTTTTTATTAACTATTCGGATGAAGACCGTTTCATCCCTTCTTTGCCTGGGTTTTGTGGCTTCTTGAGATTTTTCTCGATCGGGCAACTGGCAAAGCTGTTCGCCTGATACCACTGAAGACGTTGCACAGTAGATTGCATCTTGTAAGAAATCCGAAAAGGTGGTTGATTGCGGCCAGGTAGGCCAGCCAGGTGTTGATTACGAATGGAGCCGTAGCTGCTGCTGGATTTACTGTTGCCCTGGTAACCACCAAGACATTTTTGTTTACACAATGTCCTCAAAGGAGGGTTGAAATCGTCTTTGGCTTTCTTTAAAGAAACAAACTCCTCGAAGGGAACACACGGTGGTAGTTTTTTAATCTACCAGGTAAATCAGTACCTGCTTGAGCTAATTATCCTTGCTTGGCAGCAGCGTGTTGGAAATTCTGTTCGCCTGTTGCTATATTTAATTAGATTATTGATTCTCATTTAAACACTTCTGATTACATTTGCATATAAACGATCAAAATTGATATTGCCCTAACGAGATGTTAGCGGTGCTGTTTACCTGTTCCCAAAAACCACTCACCTTTGCTATGTCAACAACTCGTTTCCCACGCTGCAAATGCATGCTTCATGAAGGAAGATAATCTCACGGACCTTCTTGGAAGACTTATTTCAAATATCATTGCATTGATACCTTCTGCTCACCTAGTAGATAATTGTTACCTGTGGAAAACAACCCCAATTTTGTTTGGAATTTAGGTGGTAAATGTAAATATTTATGTTATATTCATTAGAAAACCCAACTTATGAGCTGATAAAACAAGATCTGGATCTTTATAGAAGGAAAGCACGAGCGCGTGCAGACAATGAATAAAAGCATATGCACCGTTATTATATAGATAATCATTATTAGCATGAATAATAAAAAAACTTAAGTCTACTGGGAAATATCTCTAATCGTAGATGGCAAGAAACCACCTGATTCATTAGAGGAACATTCACTTTAGCCAGAAGCAGATTAAATACTTTCAGGTGTGCCCTATTTGTATATTTGATAGTCTATATATTTGCACATAATATACATGTTTATCTGCTGTTCGTTTATGCTCGGGCTTAAATTTATGAATTCTCAGTATTTAGCGACAATGGCGCCTCAGATAATCCCACTTTATTCTTGGTTATTATAGGGATTAACAATTTGTCTCTGCTGGGAGCATATGAAAATAGATTAGGACTTGTCCAGACAAGCGGTCCAATAAAAATTATGGATTTATAATTAGTATTATACTTTCATGCACAGCCATGAGGCTGCAATCAGTGTTGCCAGTTTAACCTAGATCAGGCTAGTGAAGGTGGTCTAGCCTACTGAACATGAGTACGGAATGGAACAGCCAGAATTTGAGATAGACTATGCAGTCCTTAAGAGAACTATAGAGCAGAAGAAACTGCCGAAGCTGATGCACATAAGCTAACTATGCGTTTGTGTATGTCTATATATGTATATGTCTGTTCGTGTGTCTCTCGGTACATCTGTCTCTCCACCTGTTTCCCTCTCTAACTCACAATCTGTCTCTCTGCCTGACAAAGGCAAGGGACGAACAAGAATTACACACATTAAGCTGTCTATATGTATACAGCACTCATTCGCTATGCGAAGCTAGAGTGCTTGACGAAGCAGAGAGTGTTCCCATTAGTCTCTTAAAGCTCTACCTGGCGCCATGTTTAACAATTGAGCGCGGCTTAGGCTCTGAATGAAAGTGAGCCTATATAAAGGGCAGCAGCTCAAGCATTTCTTCAGTCGCTCGTGGAGGTCAGTCGTGCAGAGCAGTAAAGTGGAGTGAAGTGTGTAATCGATCAGCTAAGCATTAAATAAAGACTTGGGAGAAATTTGTAGAGGAAATTCGCTGATTAAACAGTGTGAAAGAATTCTTAGGGGAAATACTTAAAAAAAATCACAGAGCAACAACTCTAAGAGTAAATTCGCAGAGGAAACACTTAGAAGAGAAATAAAACAGAGTCGACTCTGGAAAAACTAATTCTAGGACATTAGCCCAAATAATTTAGAACATATTCAACGTTAACAGAAAATGTCTAGGCTGTACATATTTAAGATTTCAAAGCATATTTTTGCTTGTATAGTGAAAATGCGCTCTATGCTTTCTATGCTTTCTCAATGCCATATTACTTTATTATTATAACAAAATTGTAGAACAAAACAAAGTTATATATGAATGTATGTTAGATAGAATATGTCTCAAGACACCTTCACATATTGCATATTGCTTAATTCTTGAACTTCATCTCGATGCAACCGAGTTTACTATTCAAGCCGATGAAGGGATTCTTGATGGTCTCGTTATTGAAGTCGTTTTCCGTCAAGCTGATGACCATGTGATTGCTGCAGCCGGTTGTGCAGGTCGCTGAGGCACAGGCCAATTGATTATAAATGCAGTCATCGATGAGACGCACAGCCGTGCTCATTGCAGAAACTGTGCCATAGATCGAGGTAAAGGCACATTCCCAGGCCTGGTTGATGCGTATATCCGCTGCGCACTTTGCCTGCTGCAGATACGTGTTGAAGTTCTTCTGATTGCTTATGGTATACGTGTTGACTGTAGATATCTGGAATTAAAAGAGATTATTAAATTGAATGTCAAATGCTAAATAAGAACAAAACACACAACAAAAGCATTTTTTTCCGATCGCTTACAGAGTGTGAGTGAAAGGAAATTATGTGTTTACAGCATTTGCGACACATTCAACAGTTATTTGTGAGCTTTGATCTTAATACATATACAAAATGGTGTATGCATGTGTGTAGCATGCGAATAATATGTAAGTTAGAGCGAGACGATGCCTGCTCAGCTGTCTTTGCGGAAGTGATGCCTTTTTTCTAGCGTTAAAAAAGCTAAATTTCTCCTTTGCCACTGCATTCAATTCTTCTCGCATATGTACTTTGAAAACAAAGCCAGAATTGACGGGAAAAAAGCGGAAATAGCAACACTAATTTGCTTGTTCGCTATGGCTCACTTCTTTGAGGAGTGAACCAGCAACAGCAATCATTTTGAGAGTTGTATATGTATGTGTGTATGCTAGAGCGAGACCATGAAATAAGCAAGGACGTTGATTTTGCAAGCAAGAAGAGTCAAGCGTAATGTGCAAAGCAATCACAAGTAAATTAATAAATTGTTTAATATACATATTATACATATACTTACCGCATTTTTAACGCAGATTGTATAGTTCGTCAGTGAATCGGGATTTGCTTTTACACAGTCGGTCAGGAGCTTCTTGGCATTGTTATTATAGTAGTTCTTCAGGGAATTGAAGCTGTTTTGTGAACTGGACAAAATGCTATTCAGGTTGCCTTGAGCAGAGGACGAGCAACTGCTGAGGGTGCTACGCACACTGGATATTGTGGGAATGGTTCCGCTGTAGTTCTGGACGCATTGCTTGTGCCACGAGTCGATTAACTCGATCGGATCTAGACGCGCTTTCACCTCCTCCAGCCTGAGCTCCAACTGATCGGCCTGGATGCTGATTGCGCGCAGTCCGCTGGAGAAGGTGGATCGAGCTGTGTCCAATTCATTCTCAATCTGAGCCAGTCTAGCATCATTTTGTCTCTGGTTCTGAATTATATAGTCCTCCAGGTAGATCGTCAAATTCTCCGCAGAGATTGCGCCAAAAGGCGCCAGGCAGACCAATAAGACGAGGAATAGAACTGAGTTTTGCATCTTGTCAGCAGTGTAACTTAATACTGAATGTAGATTGGGGAGCTCTCTGCTTTTCTTATATATATATGTACGTACATTTATGGAAATCGCACTGCTCTTTATCAGGGATGTCGTCGAGTGCTTCCCCCACCAGCAGCCGCAATCTGCTTTTAGCATTTCTCAAAATTCCCTAGCAAATTATCAGTATCAGTATTTATTTAATTTTACGTTTTGTTTATAAATACAAGTATATGGTATACTTTCATGAAAGAACTTTAAAACAATAAAAAAATTTGCATGTACATAAAGTGGCATATTGGCAATATAAATATTTGGATTGTGGCTTTAATTAATTTATGTAATTATATGAACTGTAAATAAAGGACCAGTAGTATTTATAAACCAAAGTCAATAATGTAATTGAAGAGATCTGTCGGCAAGCTGGCGTTATTTAGCATAAATGCGAGCATGTGATACCTCTGTCGCAGCAGATACGCTGAATATTTGGGCTGTCGGTTACGGGTGAAGACGCCCTTCTTATTGCCACCGACCCGCGTATAGGCTATCGACAGAAAGAGAGAATGAATATTCTATATTTATTTAATACTTGCATCGAACTTACTCTGCTCAGTTTTAAAGTCCGCAAAATTCCACACAAATTCGCCAATGAACCATTTGAGCTTGCGCAGTTTGTCAAACGCCTGGAAATGCTTTGATAGCATCGTCGTCTGATATTCCTCCGACCAAATAAATGTGGGCAGCTGTTTTAAAATTATTGGAAAATTAGCAAGCAATATTCGTCTATGCTATTCTAGCTCTGAATTCTCACTGTATGATATCCCTCGAGGGTATCAGCGCCATATTCGAACACAATGACCGGCTTTTGGTGCAGTTGCCGCCAGCTCAAGGCCTCTTCAAACATTGGGTTTATAATCATGTCCGTGCGACCGGAATTGTGATACCAGGAATTGTAGCGATTAAAGCCAATGATATCCAAATATGCAGACATCATGCACTTCGTCGGCTCAGCATTGCTAGCAGCCGTTAAGGGACGTCCCTGCGCAATGCTTCGTGTATAATTCGCCAATTTCCTGCCGAGAGAGAATAGTTTATAACATTGGCATATTTTAGAATTGCTAATTGACTTACCCGAAATACTCCTTGGCTGCTGGCTTCTGGGTACGCGGCTCGTTGGCTATTGACCAGGCTATCACGGACGCATGATTGCGATCGCGATGTATCAGCTGCTCCAAATAGGTCATGTGGTTCTGCAACAGCTCTGGCTGGAATAAATCCGTATTCACACTGGCGCACTCATCGATGATCATAATGCCGTGCTCATCAGCAAACTCCATTGATTCCTCCGAGTAGGGATAGTGAGAGGTGCGATAGGCATTTGCTCCCACCCACTTAAGCAGACTAAAGTCGCGGGTGAGCAATGCATTGTCCAGGCCTTTGCCGCGTATCTGAAAGGGAATTATCAGTGGAGATTATGAAGAAGCGCCTTCAAGCCAACTTACATCGGAATCTTCGTGCTTGCCAAAGCCACGCAAATAGATCGGCTGGCCATTGATGTATATGCTGTTATTGTCCCAGTTGAGACTGCGAATGCCAACGGGTAGCTGATAGCTGTCCAGCAGCAGACCATTTGCAGCCATCAACTGGAATTCCAGGGTATACATATAGCCAGGCTCCGGATGCATTAGATAGGGCCACCATGGCTTCACATTTGGTATTAATAAAGTGCCATTGTGATAGTTCCGATTTAGCTGATGTGCCACCACATTGCGATCTCTATCCAGCAGTTTGACGTTGATGTACCTGGACACATCCTGTTCCTGCTCATTGCCTATCCACAAGCGATAGTCAATGCGACCCATTTGCTTGTTCACTTGCGTCTTAAGCTCAATGTCTTTGATGTATTTCGCCGGCGTGGTATAAAGCTGGACGGAGCGATGTATCCCGGCGTAGTTGAAAAAGTCAAATGTGAAGGTTTGAACATCGACGGAACCATTGTCAGTAGACTCTTTAATCACTGCACCCTGTGGAATAGTGGAATTCCTTAGCCGATTGTCGACCATGATTGTGATGCGATTCTCCTGGCCATATTTGACCAATCTGCCGATCTCCACTTCAAAGGGCAAATGACCAAAGCTGTGCTTAACAGCCCTCTGACCATTGATCCAAGCAATGCATTCGTAATGGATGCTGCCGAAACGTATCCAGGTGCGTGTCCCACTCATATTCCAACTGCTGGGCACAAAGAAGTGCCGCTCATACCAAACTGTGCCCACATGGTCGCGCAATTCCTGATCCACGGTCAGATCATTATACGATGCTGGCACAGGTACTTTGATTATTTCACGACCTGTGGAGCGGAGACTACGACCAAACCATTTTTCACGTATCCCCTGAAGAGGATCACTGGCATTGCTCCGGACCAGTTGCCAAACACCGTCCAGAGAGTTTACCTCCCGCGTCTCGGATGCGCGAGGATACAGCAGACCCACTGTGGGCTTTGGTAGTTGTACATTGTCATAGCAATAAATCTGCTCAAAGTTGAACTTGTGCGCAAATCTATGGCCGGTACTTAGTTCATCTTCCACATTGTGAGACAATATTGTATCCAAAATGCACACACATATTAAAGTTATGGCGAAGCATATTATTGTTCGCGTTTTAATACTGTTGCTTGTTACCCGCATTGCTGCATTGCTATGCAAAACGCCCTTTTTTCTGCGATAACAAACTTTCCGATAGCTGGCAATGCCTATAAACAATCAAATTTAGAAAAATAAATATATAAACCAAACGAAACAGAAACAAAACAAAAGAGAAATTACCTCCAATGATTCACATCTCTATATATTTCGTCGATTTTAAATGCGGGTGGTTGTGTCTGCTATATCGATTATAAACGATGATTTACAATTTCACTACTTTTCGCTGTATCGATGACAAACGAAATTAATCGATATGATTAATTAAATGTAAACAAAAATCAGCTGCTCTAGAGCTTAAAATTCGAAGTATTCGTACATAAAAGCAATTGAACCAATTAATCTGAGGCAAACACAAAAACTCTTTATTACAAAAAACAAAAATGATAAGACTTATGCTACCGAAATGCGCTTGAGTTCAGTTCCAGCATAACAATTTATACAAAAACAGTATAAATAGCTAAAATACTTAGTTTTCGCGTGGACTTAGATGTAGATGTGAATGTATATAAAATATTGTACTGTGTTGTTGTCTTGTCAATTTAAGTGTCTTACAGTCGACGATGATTTACTCATAAATCAGTGGAATCATGCTTCACATTCGACCCGCCCACATCAGCAATGTAGGTGAACAAATCATTTGGCACATTGCACTGATCCACCTCTCGCCCCAGAGCAAAGTATCGCTGGCGCAGCAGGTGAGCGGCCGCCTTTGGCTGCCGTGCGCGCGTAAAGACGCCTTTCTTATTACCACCAACCCGCGTGTAAGCTGGAAAGAAAATTCGAACATTTAATATGGCAAGTTGACTCTTCGAACTCTTATACTCACTTTGCGCCGTCTTAAAGTCGGCAAAGTTCCAGACGAACTCGCCAATAAACCATTTTTGGCGCCGCAAAGCATCAAAGGCTTTGAAGTGCCGTGAAAATACTTCAGTTTGGAATTCCTCCGACCAAACAAAGGCCGGTTGCTGTAAGGAAATAAATTGAGTTTATAAACACCATAAATTAATCACTTCTCTATATTACCAGATGGAGACCCTCCAGCGTGTCGGCTCCATATTCTGACATAAGAACCGGCTTGTCATACTTCTTATTCCATCCGGTTGCTTCACTAATCACACGCTGTGTGACCATATCCAAGCGACCCGTGTTGCTGTACCACGCGTTGTAGCGGTTAAAGCTAATTATGTCTAAATGGCGGCCCTGTTCATGACAATGGCATTAAGCAGATGTAATTTAATCGGTATGCCTAGCCTGCTTACCGCTTTGTCATCATTCGAGGGCACTGCAATGGCAGCCGTTATGGGTCTCGTACTATCCAAGGAGCGTGTGTAGTTGGCCACAAATCTATAGAAGGTGCAGAGGCTACAGATGTATGGATCAAATAAATGCTCATTCACTCACTGGAAATATGTGTCGGCATTCACTTGACCGGTGCGCGGCTCATTGGCAATGGACCACATCACGACGCTGGGATGATTGCGATCGCGATGCACAAGCTGCTCCAGCGAGGACTTATGCCGGTCCAGCAGAACTTGATTGAAGTTCCTGAGGAGAAGAAGAATAAATAATCACTATGTATTTGAGACTAATCTATCAACTATCAATTACTCTGTATCGACGCTGGGGCATTCGTCGATAATCATGATGCCATGCTGATCGGCGAACTGCATGGACTCCTCCGAGTAAGGATAATGCGAGGTGCGATAGGCATTGGCGCCAATCCACTTAAGCAAATTGAAGTCACGCGCCATCAATGCATTATCCAGACCCCTGCCACGCACATCCGCATCCTCGTGCCGCCCAAAGCCACGGAAATAGATCGGCTTGCCATTGATCAGAAACGTCGTGTTCGTCCAGCTAAGCGTACGGATGCCCACTTTCAGACGATAGACATCGAGCAGCTGCTCCTTGGCTGCATACAGTCGAATCTCCAGCTCGTACAGATATCCCGGATCCGAATGCATAAGATATGGCCACCAGGGCTTCACATTGTCCACTTGCAACGAGCCCACCAGCTTGCTGTCCGACGTCACATTGGCAACTTGTACGCCCTCTCGATTGTAGATCTGCAGCCGTGCGAAGAGCGTATTCTCCGCCTCGTTGGCCGCTGTACCATTCACTGTGATGCTGTAATCCACCGTACCCACTGGAATGACAGGGATATTGTTATCTATATTTCAACTTGATAGGAGCTACCAAATGGATCAGCCGAATTCAATTCGCATACGACAAATCCGAGGTATTTTCTAGTCATTTAAAATAATTAATTCGAATTCTATTTTAATCTTACCGGTATTATTCTCTGACAGATTCGTTTTGATCTCCACCTCTTCAATGAACGTTTTGGGCGTCGTATACAGATGAACGGATCGATGGATGCCCGCATAATTGAAGAAATCAAATGTATAGCTCTGTATGATAGTAACGCCATCGTCGTTGGCCATCTCTGAGATTTTGCCCTGCGGTACCGTCGTCTGGATCAAAGCATTGTCGCACATAACCGTAATGCGATTCTCTGCACCATACTTAAGCAAGTGCGTGACCTCCGTCTCGAAAGGCAAGTGCCCCATCTCATGCTTAACAGCCGAGCGTCCATTGATCCACTAAAGAAATAGAGATATACACATATACATACATATATACAGCATTATTATATAGAGTATTGACCTACCACAAAGGCCTCGTAATGCACACTACCGAAGCGCAGCCAAACCCGTTGATCCTGTCCCCAGGAGCGTGGCACAAAAAACTTGCGATCATACCAAACGGTGCCCACATGATCGCGCAGCGCCTGCTCCGTGGTGATGTCATTGTACGATGCCGGCACTGGCATGGGAATGGTGGGCATGCTCTTGCTTAGGTCATCCTTGAACCAGCCGTCGCGTATGCCCTGTGTCGGATTCGTTTCGTCCGAGCGCACAAAGTTCCAGATGCCATCGAGCGTACGCACTTCCCGCGTCTCCGACTCACGTGGATAAAGCATGCCTCGGGATGTTTCGATTTCCTTGTTTAGTATGATGAGAGCTAAAGTGAATTTCAGAATATAGCAGACGAGAAAAAGTGAGGACAGTGAAAAAGCTGAAAGTAAAGGGGAAGACCAATAGAACGATTAATCATTACAAAAGAGTGCAACAACAGCAAATAGAAGATAAGCAGACTATGTATGTCATAGACTTTTATTGATAAGATATATCCGAATCGACCAAATTTTCCACATAATTATGTATATGTGGAATATACATATGTGAAACCAATGCCAATGTCAACTTAATTCAAGCAAATACAATAAAAGAAACTATTCAGCTTTGTTTAGCTCTTCATTTCTTATTCTGTCAAATATACTCACATTTGCATTTGTTATGTTGAAAATCAGAGTGCGAAACGTAACGGAAATGAAATGGAATCCAATATTAATTGTCAAGTCTTATGATAATGTAACTGAATGCATTGAATGTGCGTGTCCATGTCGCGTATACTTAACAAAAGCCAAACAGAATGTTGCAAACAATGCAAATTCTAAAGAGCGCATCAGAGCTAAGCCGTTCTAAACTCTTTACAACATTTCAACAGGTGCAGACAGAGAACAGCTGTTAAGCTCTCTCACTCTTTCACGCACGCACACACACTCACACTCGCTCATGCACCCGCTCGCATTCACGCTCTTGCACACATTTCGTTTGTTGTTTTTTTTTTTTAATAACTGCACAAAAATGGTTAAAGACATTTCGAAGCACGTGCAGCAGAAGAAAAACATAAAATTAGTTCAAAACAAACATTTAAATATTCTCTTCAAGCCCATAATAGTAAAACTGTTATATGCTGATGATGTGATATACGCGAGCTTTGTTGTTGCTGCCCTCTCGCTCGCTCGCCCGCCAAAAGCACACTGAGGCGCACTGCTCGCGCATGAGTCCCACTAGCGTAGCGTCGGCAGCGGCAGCGGCGGCGGCGTGCACTTCTTTTATTTTTATCTTCTCCAATATGCTTATCGGCTGGCAGACAAAAAAGCACAAAACTATTAGAACAAAAAGCTGCGCTTCTGGAAAGCGCGCACCAATTCGACAGTTAATTATTTGAAAATGTGGCGCCGATATGGAACTGCAGAGTGTGGCACTAATTAACGGATAATTTTAAATTGGGAAAAGATAATTATTTATTTTCCTTTTTCTTCTCATTAATTTTAAATTAACTTCAGTGCTATATATAACAGATAATTTTAAATTGGCAATAGTTAATTATTTATTATTGGATATTTTATCTTTTTCTCATTCATTTTAGATTGACTTGTGAATATATGTATATCAGACAATTTTAAATTGACTTGTGTTATATATAAATTGGTTATTTTATCTTTTTCTCATTCATTTTAAATTGACTTGTGTTATATATAACAGAAATTTTAAATTGGCAGAAGTTAATTATTTATTATTGGTTATTTTATCTATTTCTCATTAATTTTACATTGACTTGTGTGTATATTATAAACTTTAGTGCTATATTTTAGAGTATTCACTTGTCCACTGCGCACTTACACATATTTTTAGCTCTGTGAGCTTCTTAAAGCTGCAACTCCAACCAACTAACTGCAGCTCCAGCGGCCTCTGCAGCTCCTTTTTAAAGACAAAGTCGTGGCTGGAGTAAATGCTTAAAATGCAAAACATGGACAACAAAATTTGCATACGTTCTAAAATGCGTGCCACAAGCAGCAGATATTTGCATGCCAACTGTTTTTCTTTTGAGGGCTCTAAGTTAATTAAAGCAACAACAACAACAACAAGAACAACAACAACAATCTTACCCCAGATTTCAAGTTTCCGACACTTTAGGTTTATCGTCAAATGCATTGTTCTACTGAACTGCAGCGTGTGATTGGCCAATGCGAACTGAATTTAAATAACTTGTGCGCCCAGTAGATGGTGGATGATGGTCAGCTGTTTGATTGACTCATTGACCCATTGACTCATTGACTGACTGGCTACGGGATCACAAATGCCCGTAGCCGTAGCCGCAGCCGTAGTCGTTGTAACCGCACCCGACGTGAGCCAGTTTCTTGCGGCTTCTATAATAAGTTAGTCACACAAATCCGCCGAAACGCTCAACGGATGTCATTAAGCAAGGTAATTGTGGGACGCAGTGCAGCAACATAAAGGTCGCCCTCGGCGTTCCCGCTTTACCGGCGCTGACTAGGTTTAGGCGCATGGACGGGAAGCTAACGCACGACAACCACACACACACACACACACACACACACAGGGAGACATACATACATGGACACGCACACAGCCTGCTGAGCCGCTGTCGGAGCGACAGTTCTCAATGCATTGAATGTGCCCCTAATAAGGCCCCACACACACAGACATGCACACACATGCACACACAGACGATAAGCTGTTCGCTCCAAATCCCAAAGTGTGTTCATCGTGTGGGGGGAGGTCAACAACAAAGAAATCTACAATAACAATCGAAACATATGCAACAACAACAACAACAACAATACAAATAATAAAAGAACAAGTCTGAGCTGCTTTGGACAGCAAATTAAAGGAACTACCAGGAGTCATCAGGCTTTCATTTAATTTTGTTTTAATAAACTTGTTCACTGCAAAGTCGTTTACTTAGATTTAATGTGATTTAGCCATTGTCATTTGAAGATGCGCTTGATTTATTATTCTTAATTTTGTATTCATTATATATGGTAATTATAAAAAAAAAAAAGTAAAGAATCAAGAAGAAATCAAGTTTACTACTGGAACTATAAAGCAATAATAAATATACGTAATTACAAGTTTACACAGTCATTAATCACGAATAAAACTTCTGCAAGAGCCTTTCACATAATTTGCAAAACATTTATTCACAATTGTATAACGTCATTGTTCTAAAAAAAAAAAACATGAAATTTATAAATATGCAAATATGTAAATATAGCTTATATTGTATTAAAAAATATATATATTAATGTGTATATATGTGTATTAAAATACCTTGCTTATAGATTAGTAAATTAATTACGGATTATATGTATGTATGTGAGTTCTTAGTTGTTTGTTTGTTAAAGACAAAAACAAACAATTGAAACAGGTCTAGCTAACAACGTTTGAATATCAAATATTAATATTTGTCATGATACTTTACCCATTTTCACTTTTATTGCTCGGGTGCTTTCTAAAACTTTTGAATTCGTCAAGTCAAATGTGCAGTGTAATTTTTAAAGTTCCGTTACAAATTCAATTAATCTATGGATTCATTATTGGTCTAATTAGGTGGGATGGCAACGACTTTAATTAGTTTAACACTTTAACACTTTGCCACATAGATCAACTGCCGGTCAAATACGAGAGAAACTACGTACAAATAAACAAACAGGCACTCACGCACAAACACTCACACCCATTCACGCGTGCATACGCATAAGCAGCAAATTAAAGACTACGATTATAAGCTGGGCTAACGTATGCAGTAGAGCTGGGAAACCATCGACGCATCCATCGATATAATCGATTATTTTTCCATCGATGGGAAAAACATCGATGAAGCCGTCCATTGATGGTTTCCCAGCTCTAGTCTAAGCTCTTTGTGTGCGCGCATATGCATTTGCATATGTGTTGGTGAATGGTTCAACTACTATAATACTTGTTGCATTTCACGGCCATAGTTAACAATAGAAATCCTAATTTCCAAATATCCATATTCCTACCTCCGTACTTTCACATATTAATATAAACACATGTTTTAAAAAGTTTAACTTAATATTAATTTACTTAAATGCTGCTAGCGTAAAATCTAGTTATACAACTAATTTTACCAGTACATATTGTAAAAATATATATACAGGGTTTTTTCCTAAAACAATAATGAAATGTAAACAAAGTCAGCTGTGTGTGTTGTTGAAGCGTATTCTTGGTCTGGCAGCTCTATATCATGGATATATTGGCGCAGCATATGTAAACAAAATCAGCTGTATGGGTCATTTAATGGTTTTTCGGTCTGGCAGCTCAAATAATATATCGCAAGCTTAAAATTATCGATGACGACGATATATTTATTCAGTACTTTTAATAAATCATGTATAATGCAATGTGTGGTAAAAGCAGACAAACTTAATAATTGTAGACTTGAAGCAAGGCTGCAACATGTCCCTCGCCTTTGACGTGGACAATCCAAGTGGCAGCACTGCTTATCAAAGCTTAAAACATGATTCAAGTGATAAAATAAAATCCACAACAGCGCCAGCATCCGCACATTTGAGATACAGCATGAGTACGGCGTGGATGCGACAATGTCGACCATATAAACTAACGATACTAATACTGCTACTCCTAATACTGCTACCCCTGCTGGCGCACCGCAAATTGTTAAATGTAAGTCGAACTTGTATTAGATTAAATGTAAATAACTAAACAATGTCTGGCCAGGCCGAGTTGGATGCGCCGCCAACAGATGTGCATCGCTCCCGGCCTCTGCTGGATGCCTATGAGGACTTCACTGCGATGCGGGCCAGTGATCTAAAGATGCGCATAGAAGAAATGCTGAGAATTAAGGTGAGTGCAAGACGGCAATAGAGAAGTGAAAAAATATATTCATTTCTTTTTAGAGCACCGTCTCTGTGGAGCTACGTGAGTTAGAATCTCGTCGTCAAAAGCTGCAGTCGGACATCAGTCAGTACAATCAAAAGCTTGAGGAGCTCAAGCAAGAGCTGTTGCGCGAACAAACAGAACTCGAGCGGCTAAAGATCTCTGTGGAGCAGGCGCAAGTGGCACAGCGGGAAGCCGTACAGCGCAACACACCGGAATTGGCGCTTCCTCGCACCTTGACGCCCAATTCGCTGCCTAGGAGAATGAAGGGCATTAGCGATGGAGTTGCAGCTGCCTGCGAGATGCACAATTGCTTCGATCACTCACGTTGTAGCCTCACGTCCGGCTTCCCCGTCTATCTATACGATCCGGACGTCTACAATGTGCAGCGCTCGGGCTACGATATCGATGGATTCCTAAAGACGACCATAAAACAAACTTTGGGCTACAATGCGCACATTGTGCGAGATCCCAAACAGGCTTGCATCTACCTTGTGCTTGTGGGAGAGGCTCTCCTAGAGGAGGATTTGCTGCGCAACAATCGATACGCCGCCCAGGAGGAGGTGGCACAACATCCTCACATTCTGTCCAATTCGATGGCTGCCAACAACTCGCCCATAGATTTGGGAAAGCTGTATCAGTTGCCCTATTGGGGCGGCGACGGAAGGAATCATGTTCTGCTGAATCTGGCACGTCGCGATTTAAATTCTGCTAGGACTAATCCGCTGCTGCAGCAGAACACGATGCGTGCGATTATAGTGCAGAGCACGTTTGAACGAGATCAATTTCGACCCAATTACGATTTGATTGTGCCACCCATTCTGGGTCCGCCTGGTGGCGATGTTTGGCAGGAGTGCGCCAGCATGGTGCCGGCACGCCGCAAGTACTTGCTCACCTTCCAAGGTGAGCTGCGACCCTCGCAGGCGGCTCTTCAGCCGCTAGATGACTTCATAATGGAACACCTGAAGGACATGTCGCGCTCATCGACTCAGGATCAGTTTTTGCTGCAATTCCAATGTGTGCCCGCCACAGAGCAGCAGGAGACGGGCTCCCTGGGCGACTGGACTCTCTGTGGCTCCGACAGCTCACGCAAGCAACTGCTCAAGGACTCAACCTACGTGCTCATACTGCCACCATTGGGCCAACGGGTCAGCTCGACGCTCATGTTGGCGCGTCTCTATGAAGCGCTGCGCTCGGGCGCTGTGCCCGTAATCCTTGGTGCCGATGAATTGCGTCTGCCATACGCCGAGACCATTGACTGGCGTCGCACTGCCCTGCTGCTGCCGAAAGCCCGCATTACGGAGCTTCATTTCCTGCTGCGCGCCGTTCAGGATTCAGATTTGCTGCTGTTGCGTCGTCAAGGACGTCTCATCTGGGAGCGATATCTGAGCTCTGTGCAGGCCACAGTGGACACGGTCATAGCCAGCATGCGTGATCGACTGGGTATACCGCCACGCCCGGTGCCACCTGTTGTCGCTCAGAGCGTTTTCAACAGCACGTTTATTCCGCTGAAATCGGAGCCGCCTGTTGGAATGGACACGGAGCCGGAGGAGTCGTTGGGACCAATTGAGCCGCCCTATCCAAGTCCAGCGTTTCGTCGCAACTATACAATACTCCGCATACAATCGAAAGAGGCATGGAACGATTGGATGGATCCATTTTTCCTTTATCCCCAATTGCCCTTCGATCCGGCCCTGCCGTCGGAGGCAAAGTTCATGGGCTCCCACACGGGCTTTCGGCCCATTGGCAAGGGCATTGGCGGCGCTGGCAAGGAGTTCAGTGAAGCGCTCGGTGGCAATTATCCGCGCGAGCAATTCACCATTGTCATACTCACGTACGAACGGGAGCAGGTGCTGATGGAGTCACTGGGTCGCCTCTACGGTCTGCCCTATCTGCATAAAGTCGTTGTCGTTTGGAACTCACCCAAACCGCCGTTGGACGATCTGCGTTGGCCCGACATTGGTGTGCCCGTTTCGGTGGTGCGTGCGCCACGCAATTCGCTCAATAATCGCTTTCTGCCCTTCGATGTTATCGAGACGGAGGCGGTGCTATCAGTGGACGACGATGCTCACCTGCGGCACGATGAGATTCTGTTCGGCTTTCGTGTCTGGCGCGAGCATCGCGATCGGGTGGTCGGCTTCCCGGGCCGCTATCATGCCTGGGACCTGAGCAGCAACAACCTGTGGCACTACAACTCCAACTACAGCTGCGAGCTGAGCATGGTGCTCACTGGTGCTGCGTTTATACACAAGTATTACATGTTCCTGTATACGTATCAACTGCCGCAGGCCATACGCGACAAGGTGGACGAGTATATGAACTGCGAGGATATCGCTATGAATTTTCTTGTCTCTCATTTGACGCGACGACCGCCTGTTAAAGTGACCTCACGCTGGACCTTCCGCTGTCCCGGCTGTCCAGTGTCCCTGAGCGAGGATGACACCCACTTTCAGGAGCGCCACAAATGCATCAATTTCTTTAGCCAGGTCTTTGGCTATACGCCGCTGCTGAACACCCAATACCGGGCCGACTCAATACTCTTTAAGACGCGTATTCCGCACGACAAGCAGAAATGCTTCAAGTATATATAGACGCCGCATATCATTATCATTCAACGGACGTACTTATAGAGACTCTTTTTTCTTCTTCTTAGCCCGTAAGCAAATAGTTGTGGCCATAATAGTAGTTGGCCAGATAAGTGGTTTGTGTAAATACGTTTATATATGTAGCTGCCATAATAACGGAATTTCAATTCGATTTTCGAAGCGAACAGAAGTTGTCCAAAGAGTTTACGAAGACTTCTTAACTACCTTAAGTTCATGTGACTTTGTATATAGCCTTGTATTAGACTTAATTGTTCAATTTTAGTCGTTTCATTTGTATAACAGTAATTTAATTTTTATAAACGTCCGGAGAGAAATCCCAAACAACAAAAAAATTCGTTTTATTTGGAGTAAATGCACCCATAATTTATATAGATTTTACTTTTCATACATGTATATAATATATATATAAACATATATATATGTATATTTGGATTTTCACAAAATAATGTTCAGTTGATAATGCTGATTAGTAAATTAATAGAATAGTTTGAATGTGTATAAATAAAAGAGAATGTTAAAAAAGTTTTACTGCTCTCTGGCAACCGAAGTTTGACAAATGTTCTAATTAAACCCTCTCTGTTCTTAGTATGTATAAATATATATATGTAGAGTTAGCAAGAGCTATTACATAAATTAAATATGTATATTATGTGATATATGTATACATATATATATATAAATCTAGATGTTTATATATATATATAATGGAGATGTCGCGCGAGTTTCCGAGTTGAGACCTTTGATGAGGGAAATTCTAATTGTTTTTCCGCTTTGGGTTTCTTTTTGTGTTCAGTTTAGTTCAATATCACAATACAAATAAGGAGAACAAAAAAAAAAAAAACACACACACAAAAAGATAAAGGTAAAATTAAATTTGTAACTTTACAACATAGGCATAATTTTTACATACTAGAATTACATATATAGATAAACTATATCCAATTTTGGTATCGACAAAAATGACTTTCCCTCTCATTTGATTGACGCCAGGCTTGTGACTGCTGATTGATTGATTGATTGATTGGTTTTGGTTAGATTTGGTTAACTAATTGGTTCGATGGCTAGTTCTCCTGCAGGCTGAGCTTGAGCGCCTGCTCGATCATCTCCTGCTCGCGCTGTCGCTCCAGCTCGTACTTCTGCTGCTCCTGCTGGGAGAGGCGCATCGCCATGGCCAGGTCGGAGTCCATGTACCGGAAGCCTCCATCGTCATCATCCTCAGAGACAGGCGAACCGCTCGCATTGCCCTGCGCACCCATCAGCGACTCGTGCAGCACGCTGTGAATACATAAACAGAGGAGACACACGCACACACACACGCACGCGCACACACACACAAAAGCTTGGGTAAGATGATAGCTAGCAATACATTGAGGGTAATGGAAGATGTGGGCAAGGTGGGTGGGGATCTATTTGAAGATCTTCTTCATATAGCTAAGATCGTTCTTGAACTGCGCCCCCGCCGAGGCAGAGCGACTGCGCTGCTGCGGCTCAAAGGCGGCCGCGGGCGGTGCCAGGTGCGAACTGTGCCCAGGTGAGGGGGAATGGCGACCGTAAATGTGGTGACTGGGTGCGAGCAAATTGCGCTTATTTGAACAGGAGCGGGCATTACTAGCATTACACGTAACGCTCGTTAAAGTTTGTGAATGTCAAGAGATCGAAAGAGTTCGGCTTGAGGATTACTTACCGCTGCAGCTGCTCATCGTCCTCGGGCAGCAGCTCGGTGCCCACGGCATTTTGGCCGCGCAGCACCTCCCAGATGTCCACCTTGTCGGTATCGCTGTCCAGGCCACAGGCGCCGCCAGCGCCGCTTGTCTCCGCCAGGCTCTGTTCGATGGCATATTGCAGCATGTCATCCTCGTCCAGGGGAATTTGACGGCGTGCATCTCCGCCACGACTCACATAATTGCTGGGTATATCGAAGCAACGATCATCCACCAGGCAGGTGGTGCGATCGTCCTCCTGCAGCGTGGACACGTGCTCCACCGGCGTGGTCATGGCGAACACATTGCCAAACGTGATGCAGGCGTTGAGGACATGGAAGAGCGGTATCTCCACCTTGACCGGAAAGCCGGAAGGCAGTTGCATCGTTATAAAGTCTTTCAATTTGGACACATGCGGACTGGCCATTGTGGACATGAGATCCAGTATGGGAAGCACTTGTTCCTGGAGACGGATGGGATGCTCCTCGGCCAGCCAGAGATTGGCCTTGAAGCGTTGCACCTTTGTGCTTAGGTTTTTTGGTCTGCCAATGTCGCGACCCTGCAAATCCACATCGGCACTGAAGTACTCCTCGGGCGTGATCTGTTGCAAATGGGGCGTGCTCGTGCCCGAGCAACAGGCGGAGCTGCCATTGCTCTCAGCCTGAGCTGGAACAGTGGGCGACGTACGATCACCGTTCACACTGGGCGCGATCAAAGGAGCTGACTCCGATGTCTATGGGAAGGAATTCTAATTGAGTATCCAATTGTCTTTATAGTGTGCGGGCTTACGCGATCTTTGATTGAAGCAGACACATCCGTGGGAGGTACGTAATCCTCGTCAGCAATGCCCAATAGACTGTGAAGCGGCGTCCGAGCCGTTTTGTTCTGTATAAATAGAGATAGAATTCCATTTGAATTAGTATGTATATTACTCCCGTCACATTCCATGCGGAGCTCGGAGCATCTCTTAGTCGGGGTACTCCAAACTAGAGCACACTTACATCTTTGACCGTTACCTTGATTTGCTCTTCGCTGAGGTGATCCATCCGCGTCTTGGTGACAAACTCCACATTGCTGGCCCCATACACTTTGCAATTGTAGCCATTGATGACCTCTGACTTTTCGCTGCGCCAGCCCCAGATGCCAGACTTGTTGCGCTCGAAGCTGATCTTCTCCATTTCGATGTTGTTGGTGATGACGGGCGCTGCCAGGCGAGCACGAACGGTGCCAATGGGTGGTGGAATGGCCACAATGTCACCAATATCGCTGCTCATCTGCTCCACCATTACCTCGTGGGTGTCATGATCGATCTCGATCATTGTAGCCGTCTCCTCTACAAAGTCCCAGAAGTATTAGAGAGATATAATATATTATTGCGTTGCCATTAGCACTCACTGCCGCCTTTGAATATGTAGGATCGATTGCCGCGCTGCCAGGTGTTGTTGTCGAAGCCCAGCAGCGTCGTGTCGATGCGCACGTTGGCGCCGCGCTTGTACACCTTGTAGGTGTCGCTGGGACAGAGGCGTGACATCAGCGGCACCCACGACGTGAACTCCCACTTCATTTCAATGTAGAAGTCGGGCGCATCTAGCAAATGCTGCAACAGCTTCGGCACATGCGTCACGCGCTGCACATGACGCTGCAAGTCGCGCACTTCGATAATCGCCGTCAAGATGTCCTCGTCACCCGTGCAAACGGCCTCCTGGACAACTGATTGAAGAGAGCATTAGAGAGAAAGTGGCTTTGTTGATACAAATCTTAGCGGTACTCACTTGACCAGCCTGCATGCTCGTAGGTTGCATTGCATTTGGCAGCTAAAAGGCACTTAACACATTGCAGATTCGCCAAACGAACAGCCAACATCAATGGTGTGCGGCCGCGCGGATCGATTTTTTCCTTATCAATCTGAAAGTTGAGTTATTAACATTGCTATTGTCATTGCTGTTGTTTTTGTTTTTGGAATGGAATCACTAATTCAATTAGCGGTACACACACACACACACACACACACGGTCACCCACACCAGCACACCCACCTGTCCCTGCTCCCATTCCCTAGCCAATCAATCACCCAACCGATGACAAACCTGTTCGGTGAGCAACTGCTGTTGCAGCTCCTCAACGTTCCCATTCCAGATCTGCCAGTGCAGCGGATATTCTAACTTGATTTCATCCAAACTCTTCATTCTCTCTCTCGCTCGCTCTCTTTCTCTCTGATTGCGGCACTGCCGTTGCGTTTAACTAAATTTCTAACTAGAATTGTATGGAATTGTTCGGAATAAGTTCGATCAAACGGTGTACGAACTGAGTCGCTAATTGTCGTTCATTTAGTTCTTAATTGCACTTTCACTGTTTATTTACGGTTGCCAAAGCCTTAACATTTGCCACTTGATATTTGCAGTGCTGTTTTTAACAGTACTGGCAATACTAATCGAATGAACGAAATTAATCGAAACCCGAACAGGGTGGGACAAATGTAGTTATAAACAGAATGTGTCAACTTGATTTTTTTTAGCGCTAATTCAACAAAAAATATAATACAAGTCTACAGAATTAAATACTATATGTTGCAAGTTTAAAATAATGTTATTGAAAAATATTTGTCCGCATCTGTTAAAGATACATTATCAGCTGTTCTAAAAGCCGGGTGCACACACTGGCAGCCGCTGTTCTTAATAAAAAGAAAAACTAATCCAATAATTCTTAATTACCAAAAATATTTGAACTGTGAAATGCACAAGTGAAGCCACAGAGTCTCCAATTAACGAGGTACTTGGCAATTTATACCGAATTACAAGTTAGTTTAAAAAAGAATGGTTTTTACTGTTAGTTAGCTAGTGACATAAATTATGTAAAATTTTATAAACCGAATAATAAGCACATTGTTCTTGAATAAATCAATGCTAACATAAAAACAAATTTCTCGCAACTTCCAGCTCGAACGCAACAAAAAACTATGCCTTAGACAAGAAATATATGTATGTATGTAAATATTTTGATTGAAACTGATTTGTATACTTTCTACATTCGCCACGTTAACTGCCTGAGAAAGACGCCGGTAAGTGACACAAGCATCAAGAGATCAATTCAATTAGTGTTAATTGAAGCATTAAGCGACAAGTGCAATATTTACCATTCACATTCAATTCAAGTTCAGAAAGAATGCAAACAAAAAAAAGACGGCAGAGCAAATGTTAACAGTTGGCGCACGCGATCAGCTGGCCGGCGGGAGAGAGAGAGTGTGTGTGAGAGTTGGAAAGGGTGTGGAAGAGATCTGGCTCACGCTCAGCTAAAGCTTTTCATTTGTTTTGCTGTTTTGATGCGCCCGCCCAGTCAGTCGCATAAAATCAAACGCGCAGGCCGCAACGGTTTTTTTTTTTCTACTACACCGCAAATTGTTTGTGCATAGTTACAATTATTAATAAGCTACTTAAGCAATAATATTAAATCGGTTTATTATTATGTTAACGCTGCATTTGCTTGTTTTCGTTCTCCAGTCTCTCCACTCTCTACATTCTCCACTCTGCACTTTTCATTCTCCAGTAAACGTTTGCTGATGCCCGTGTTTGTTTGTTGATTTCAAAAAATCGCTAACCTAATGTTTTGTATCTCTTTATTCCTCTTGACGTTCGACTATTTGCAGTTATGCTCTTTGCGCGTAGGCGGCATTTCTTCAAGAGGTGAATTCTAGTGTTTTCTCGAACTAACGCGTAATTAACCATTTAATATTTTAGTCGCTTAGTTAAGGCTGCTAAATCACAATTCATTTAAATTTATAAATCTGTTTATACATACATATGTATTCATTCACATGTTTTATGAGTAATCTGTTGCTGATTGTGGCAAGTCGGTCGGTGGGTCGACGAACACTCGATTCGTTATCTATGTGTCATTATTTATCGATATACGATATATCACATAATAGCTAATGTAGTTAATACCGCCATCCGCCTTATCAGCAGCAGGGTACAAAGTTTGTTCACAGCTCATTTGTCTGTTGTTGTTGTTAGTTTATGTGTTTGCTGTTTTGGGCTTGGGCAATTTCACAGTTGAATGCTTAGATTTTTGGCCTTTGCATGCTTTAATCGACACTATATTTTTATAAGCTAATAATCAAGTAACTTTGTTTATTCTCTTCCCTACGTTCGGCTAGACGCTTAGTACGTTCATAAACGAAACCAAAACAAAAGCAAAAAACCGAAACAATATCCGTGAATCTCACTCGAAATAAAAAAGAAAATCTATTTTGCACAGAAAATAAAAACCAAGCCCATTAATATTAATAACGCTCTCGCTAAAAATTAATCACAGGCTCGAACGCTCAAAAACGATTTACATATAATATCGTTAATCACAAAAAATTTAAATTAGCTGTAATCGAAGGGACAATCGATAAACGTCACAATGTACGAGCTTCATAGTTGTTTAAATTTAGTTTTCTATGCAACGATCATTCCCGGAACGATTCTCATTAGTTGGCTGACTGGGCTGTAAGTATTTATGCTCGATCGAAGAAAAAACAATAATTTGAATTAATACTGATTTCTAATAAAATGTGTATGAAATTTGCCTGCTTTCTGACTGATACTAAAATATATATCTCTTATTATTATCATTTAATTTGGTTTTTCACGTTGTTTTCAACATAAATTTTGCATCGTGGCATAAATATTTAGCATATTGTCAATGGGAATTACCATATTCACTTTGCTCTGCTCCACCTCAGCTGGGCTTCGATAGAAAAAAAAAAATTATTATAAGTTGACAAGCAACAAATTTACATTTTCTACATAAACATGTGAATTTAATTAAATTTCAATTTTGTATGTAGTATTTGCTTTTTGTAGATTATTTATGTTTTTTAGTATCCTATGTAATGTGTCCGTTTAGTTAGTTAATTATTAATAACAACAACAACTACCATCATGCAATCCATTCTCAGAGTCGGTCTGCCCTGCCTGGTGATAGCTTTGCTGGTGTTCTTCCTCTTCTTTGTGCTGTTGCCGTTGGCTTTCCGGACATCGGTGACGCTGCAACGCGGCATTCTGTTCCTCACATTTAGTAAGTGCCGAGCTGAGTAGAAGCTCCTCTATTTAAATAGCTTCAGTTGATCCTAACATTTTCGTCTGCTTCCTTTGTAGTCACCTATCCGAAGGGCCTTGACCTGAGCAAACCGCACAGCATTGGACTTTTTGCCACAAGGAACTTCTACATCACTGTCAAGGATCACGATGAGGACGATGATGGTGTCCGCATTGGCGTCTGGCATGTGCTGCCCAAGAATGTCGTGCATCGATTCCGCAGAGAGCTCCGCGTGGAAGCTGATTTGGAAACGGAAACCAGTAGCCAGCAATTAAAGCCCACTCATGTGAGTCTCGACAGCCATGAGTTGGAACGTCTAGCGCCAGAGCTGCGTGCGGAATTCCCTGTAATTGTGCCGGAGAACGAGCAGCTCTTCTATGAGCGGCTTCTGCGAGTGCCTGGCGCAACTGTGGTGCTCTATCTGCATGGCAATACGGCCACGAGGGGCAGTGGCCATCGCTCCGAGGTGTACAAGCTTTTGAGGCATCTGAATTATCACGTTTTCTCGTTTGACTATCGTGGCTATGCTGACTCGGATCCAGTGCCTCCGTCAGAGGATGGCGTGGTGCGGGATGCTCTGATGGTCTTTGAGTACATTGCCAATTTGACGACGAATCCGATTTTCATCTGGGGCCACTCATTGGGCACGGGCGTGGCCACGCACATGTGCGCCAAACTGGCCCACATGAAGGAGCGTGGACCGCGCGGCGTAATACTGGAGAGTCCGTTCACCAACATTCGTGATGAGATTCGTCTGCATCCGTTCTCGCGGCCGTTTCGCCATTTGCCCTGGTTCGACTATATGATCTCGCAGCCCATGTATGACAACCGACTGCGGTTCGAGTCGGATAAGCATGTTGGCGAGTTTCCTCAGCCAATTATGATTATTCATGCCGAGGATGATGTTGTTGTGCCCTTCCATTTGGGCTACCAACTGTATCGAACTGCACTGGATAAGCGCAGGCGCTCCTGGGGACCAGTGGAATTCCATCGGTTTGAACGGACACATGGATACGGTCACAAGTATTTGTGTCGGGCTCCAGAGCTGCCTGGTCTGGTGGAACAATTTATAGAGAGCTATCGCAATACAATCTACTAGACGAAATGCGCCGCGGAACAAGTCTTAATTTATTTATTAACAATTAACTGAGTATTTTGATTTAGTTTTATACCGCCGCAATGTTACAAAATTAATCGCACGGTTTATACAAATTAAAATAGACATTTCTAGGATACACAAGCAATGGACTTTTAATACATTTAAGTTTGCGCGCTTGACATTAAGTGTCCAATCGATGGAACTTAGATAAAATCTATTGATTTCAGTTGGTTTCGATTGGCTTCAGTGTGTGCACTCTATTTTTTCTAGAATTTATCGAAATCTATCAGATACTAGCAATAACAGAAAAATCAAATTGTCGACGGGGGTGTACTGTTACGGGTCTGTTCAACAACATTATTCTGTTATTTAGAATCGGTCAACAGCTGTTAAATGTTAATATTTATTTTAAACTAATTAAATCTTGACATTTATGTGGCTTTTCACGTCGGTTAAAATAAAATACATCACAACTTTAAGTTTTGAATAACTCACATTTTAATTTCTCGTACACTGATAACAGCATCGGCAACTCACTGTTAAGACCAGAGAATTTTAATAACATTGTAGCTGTTAGACTAACTGCTAAACCAGGGCTGCCCTGGTACATTATTTTTACATCAGATCAAATATGGCGCTGGTGTGTTGTTGTCGCTGTCGCAATTTGGCCAAAATTAATTCGCATTAAACGCGTCGAACGAAACAAAAAAAATAAATAAATAAATAAAATCGTTGTCGCAGGAAGGCGAACAAAAGCAGTATCCATCTGTGCAAAACACATGTAAAGTTCCTTTGAAAGCTGCAACGAAAAAACGGAGTTGCAGTTGAAAACGAAGTAGCCGAAAAAAAATGGTGTCTACTCCTTGAAAAGGAGTTTAGTTGTTCGCTCTTCGTTCATGTTTGTGCGTGTGTGTGTGTTTGTTTGTGTGAGTGCTGTTCCAGTAAAGTGCTGCCGAAAACTAAATAAATTGAATTAAAATAGCGGCTTCCTTCCTGTCTTCACAAAGAAAGTGCGAAAGAAAACGCTGAAGAAACCTGGAAAAGTATAAAATACAGTTTTATCGGCGATTCGGCCGCCGCCGCTCGATTTGAGTGTGTGTGTGTTTGTGTGCGTCATTGCCGCTTACTGCAGCAGCTGAAGGAAAAGGGAGTAGCTGCCAGGCAGCAGACACCAACACCAACGCATTTTCACTCTGGTGTTAAGGAAAATGTTGTGGTAAGTTTCTTTTTGTTTTTGTTATTCCTTTCATTTTCGTTGCTTTGCATTTATTTATAATTGCGTCTGCGGAGATTTAGAGGCGAATCTCCGACTTCGAGTTGGCCCAGTCGGCAGCAGTTGCATTTTCTGCGCATGTTTTTGCCCACGACTTCCGCTTTTTGCTCCCTTTTCAGTGCGGCGGCTGCTGTGGCAGCGGCGTCGCTAGCTGCTGCTGCTGCTGCTGCTTTATTTTTGCTCCCCTTTTAGCCTCTTCTTCTTTTACACAACACGCCCTTTTTCGCATGCCTCTCTGTATATGTATGTGTGCGTGTGTGTGTGTGAATTGGCGAATAATTATGTTTAATGCTTTGCTCGTATGATTAAAATTCGTGTACAAATTTCGCATTTGCGTTTTTGTCTCCCTTTTATCTACCTTTAACAGCTGTCACTGCTGTAGATTCTAAACCAGTTTTTGCATTCATTTAACATAATTGTGTGAGTGTGTGTGTGTGTTTGTGTGTGCCAGCTGTGTCCTGTGCTTGTTTTAATTGTTTTTAATGCATTTCCCCTCGGCTGCTCCAGCGTCTTGACCAGCTCGTTCTCTTCCTCTTCTTTGGTTGTGCTCATTTTGGATGCTTGTTTTTGTGTGTTGCTGGGCGCAGGCTCTCTCTCTCTCTCTCACTCTCTCTCTCACTTGCTCTCTCTCCAACTCCTTTTAAATGTTGCCAAACAAACAAAATCCAGCGTTGCCAATTTAAGAGCGTGTGTGTGAGAGAGGGAGAGAACACGGCGAGAGAGACAGAGAGCGACTGACTGATAAAGAGAGCTCAGCGACGCGGGTGGGGCTATTGATATTTCCACTTCTCTTTCATCTTTATCTTGTTTGTTTGAACTTTAATTTATGCCAGCCAAAGTTGGCTTTGGTTTTTTCTCTCTTTGCAACTATTTAAATGTCAATGCACCGCGGAGGCCCGATCCGGGTTGGCCCCTCTCGCTCCTTTGCCACCCACGAAATGACAGCGCCAAGTTGCATCACTGAACTCGCCACATGACTCACTTTTTTTTTATATTTTTTCTGTTCGTTCCCTGCCAAATGAAGCGGGCCAAAGACCCGCAGCTAACTCACACATACATATTGCTGGACTACAAAAAAAAAAAAAAAAAACCCAAGCTATAGACAAAACCAGTTCCCAAACAAAAACAATCTAAATCAAAGTACAAATTTTGCTATTAAAGTTAGCAAAGTTGAATTTATTTTGCATTTCAATAGCCCTTGTTTTTGTAACTGTTAATGCCAGTGTTGCATCGTTGCTGTTGTTTGGTGCTCCATGGCTTGCAGTTGCTCTGATTGCCAGTGTTGCATAGCAGCTGCTGCTACTATTTTGATACTATCCCCTTTATTAATAATTCAATTTCAACAGAAATTCAAACTAAACAATATTAGCTTAGTTTTTTTTTACCAAGTGGTGGCAGCAGCTGCAATTGGGGTCGCGCCACCAATAGATAAGATAAGAAATAAAACTGAAATATTTATGTACGTGTGTGTGTGTGTGTGTGTGTGTGTATCATACAAATTTCTTGCTTTTATCAGCCATGCGTCCCCCTTCGGTATCTTTGCTCCCTATTTGCTTACGTAGTTGTGTTTACGTTCCGTTTGCTGCTTGTTCTTCTTCTTCTTCTCTGGATATTTTAACGATGACTAAAACTTTGGGAGAAGAAACACAAAATTCATGAAATCGCTACAAAAATTTCCAAGTATTCAACTATATTCACATTGTGGCTCACCTCCGTCTCTTGTTTATGTTTTGTTTATGCGTTCGCAGCGTCGACGTCGCCGGCGACGACGACGACGGCGACTGCACTGAATCATAAACTTGCTTCGGGCTTCGCAGTGACTAAACTTTAGTGCGTGTCATAGCAGCCAGCTTGTGCTGCAGATCAATGCATTGAACTCGGCCTGCGTCGCGCAAATCTAATTAACATTTCCGCTTTGCTGGCCAGTGCGACCCCTCCTGCTCCTCCTCATCCTACACAGCATCCAATAAAACTACATTCCATTTGGTTTTGTGTGCATCCGTGCTCGTTGACAATGCGGGTAAGCCCACAAAAATATATATGTATGTATATGTATATCGTAGCCTGCTTTTGGTTTATCTGTCTGGGAAATGATGCTGGGTGGTCAGTTGCATCTAGATGCCTGTCGAATGACTTGATTAAAGATCAAGCAGAAAGAAAGCAATTGCATTGCTGTTTTATTTACTTGCAATATATGTATATGGAATATATGTATATATGTATAAGTGTTTTATCAATTTTATGGTGTGCCAAACGCCAGCTGCATAATTCATAGGCCTTCATAAGTCTTGGGCCTGTCTTCATCGCCTTCGCCTTTGCTCATCGGATGCATGGCACGTGTTTTGATTTTCATTACGGCTCACAGCCATATAATCGCTGTGAGCTAAATAATTTCTATATGATTTTATTTATTATTTGGTTTTTGTTAATATGCTTTGTTTAATTGAGCAAAGTAAGGAAATGACTCTGCCTCAAACGGTTTTGATATCAGCTATCGGCATGGAATGCCTGTTACTTGCATATACAATATGTATAAATATTTCGATAGGCTAGCAATACATGTATAGTTGTATATTCCCGTTTAATAGTTGACGAACAAAAGAATAGCTCCGCGGCCATATCAAGCGCAAATTGTGTGGCCTAAAGTATGGAGGAAAAACTGTTTGCCTTATTTAGTGCGCATTAACCGCAGAGGAGGAGATTATGCACTCTGCACATGAATACCGATGAGTCTAGAGAGTCTGACTGCACAGATACATATACATATATGCATATACATACATATATACGTATTTATATATGAGTGTAATATATTCATATGCGTGATAAACATGTACCGCTCATATGGCATAAATTGTAGATACAAATACAAAATATGAACGAACTGAACTGCACAGATAAGCAGAACGTAGAATGAAATTCGCTTAAGTGGCAGCTTTTCAGGCGTTTCGTTCCATTGTCTTGGCTATGCATTGGAGGCCAGCGCAGTGGCTCAAGTACGGGCAAACACACAGACACTATATATATATATATATATATATATGTACACTATATATACATATATCAAGAGAATCATCATTCACAATCCTAAACACTGCAAACTGTGTGCCGTGAAATTTGAGTTCAAATTTGCCGTACACTTAGCGAAATTCTAGCGTAACAATTAAAATTCTTAAATGCCTAGAATTCTAAATAATTGTGTAAATATTTAGAGACTATATGTTGGTACAGTGAAGTCTGTTTGAAGGAATAAATCTGTGGCATTAATTCTTTACATTTTTAGTTACGTTCTCGAGATCTTTGACTATGATTTATATGTATATATTTATATCTTTTTGCCCCACAAATCTTTTGTTCTCAATGAGTTGCACTTAAAGGCCAGCCACAATATTTTACGGCCTAAAAATTTTTACCACAACAAGCAACACACTTTAACGTAGTAGAGAGAACTTGCCCCGCCTTCTGGTTCCTTTTCAGTAAGTTTTCGGTCTAACGCTTGGTAAAGCACAGTTACACACATATATTTATTTATACAGATATACATAGGTGTATTTACGCTTAAGATGTGTCTTTACAATTTGCTGCCAGATTCAGTTTAATTAAATCCAAATATGTGTTATGTTGGCGGCTTATTAAAAATTTCTTTTGTGATATTTAAATTGGTAATTGTTAATGAATTATTTATAAAATATATTATATATTCATTATTGAATAAACATGATCAGATAAATGTTTAAGAGATTAGCTAAAATATATATATAAATAAATTAAAAATATATTAAAACAATTTTTAATAATATTTATATAAATATAAAAAAATATCTGAGATAGAAAATAATAATAAAAAAAAATTTTTAATGGAAGAAAGAAATAAAATAAAATTAAAAAAAATAAAAAAACATTCACTTTTAGCATTGCATTTTGTGCTTCCTCTCGTTCATTTGTCCGCACGGGAAGTGCCGCATGTGCTGATTAAATAGAAATCTGTGGAGTGGGCAGAAATTATAATAAAATTGACCGCGGCTGATATGAAGTCAATAGCTTGCATGATTCACATAGCCCATTCCCCTTGGGTGGGTCCCTTAGTCTCCATTCAAAGTTCTTCGGTTCGCACTGCGCCACAAAGAGGAATTGCAAGCACTTGAAGTGCTTCCGCTCGCTGTAGTTGGAGCTGGGACTGGGTCTGGGGCTGGGACTGGGACTGGGACTGGGGCTGCAGTCTGAATTTTCACAGCCATCCAACGGGTTTCGTTTTGTTTTTACTTGCTAAAAGCTGACGTTGAAGTTTTCATCTTGTTTTGATTGCATACAAATACACGGCTGCAATTTAGCCCCTGACACACACATGCATGCATACACACACACACAAGCACACACACAAGTTACCTACCTGCACTTTTTCTACTTCTGCCGAAGGATGATACCCTGTGATATGACAAGTCTGCATGACTGACTGGCTAGTTCTATTAATATTTGTTGAATTGTTTTTTTCTGACGAAATTTCGACTCATGCGAATCATGATTTATCAATAATTGACTCACAACATAAAGATTCGTGTTTTGTTTTGTTATCAGTTTTTAATAATTCCGTTTCCTCATTATAATTGCGTGTCATAACAGTCAGCTTTCATATAAATGCGAATGCATTTCTGTCTGGCCTGCTAAATCAGTGTGACCCTACTGCAATTGTAATTAATTCACTGACTTAACTTTGGTAATTTATATTAAATAAATAGTTATATTGGCATTTATATTATATTATATATGAAAGGTTTTTCTTTTACACGAACCTTGATATATTACTCGATATTTACAAAAGTTTGCAATCAAATCTTAAGCTTTGGCATAGCTAGCTCTAAACCAGCTCTAAACACATAATCTGGGTCGCTTTGACAGTTAGTTATTCTGGGCTAAATTGATGTTTATCGCTGCTGTCCACTTCT